AATTGTCTCGAATACCGCAATAACTACTCATATTTCTAAAAAATGTATGTAATATTATTCAAATACGTAATATTGCGAGATTAATGAGAAGGAAAGTTCTCCCTTCTGCATTAAAGGGTACAAACACATTAAAACACTGTTGTAATTAAACTCAAAATTACGCCAAAACTACTTACATGTTTTAATGCGCATGACCTTATTTAAGGATATAATTTTCAAGAATAGATTTCATTTAGCAAAAAACAAACAACAACAACAATAAAACATTATCTCCAATTATTCAGTTTTGCAATTTTAAACTTTTGCGAATTTTGAAAATATAGAGAGTTTACCGAGAGCTGTGTCATTTTTATAAGTAGACTTTGCTCTTTTGGAGAAGGCATTAAAGAAAAATATTGAGCCTTTTCGAGAAAATCAAGGTTTTTGAAATTGCTTAGAATTCACACAAAGTTTCACGCAAACTACTGATATTTTCGAAAAGTGTACATAATCGTATTTGAAGATATTTCTTTGAGGAATACTTTTGGTAACGGAAAACCTCTCTCTTCAATATCACAAGTGTAGGAAAACGCCGAAAAAACGAGTTTTGGCGAGTCTTGAAAATGTAGAGAGATTACCAAAAATTATATCTTCTCCTTTTTTTAGGTTCGTTGCTCTGTCCGAGAAAAAAGTCAATTAAAACCTGTGGAGCCATTTTTGAGAAGAGTTTTAAAATGTTAAGGCTTAAAGTAAAGTACCTCCGAAAATGAAAATATCCGTTTCAAATTCACAGGGCCTCGAATTCGGCCAGATATATCTGGGAATATCAATATTAGGTATCAATATTAGATATCATATTATCAAGGTAATTGACCGAACGGTTTAGGCGCTAGCGTTGACCACAGAAGGGCGGACGGATAATGTTCCCCAACAGCAAGAATCTGCGATCTGGCGCCGATCTATATGATGTCTAGCGGGAATACCTCCCGCTTCTAGGTATGTGCTTCAGAATAGTTAGACAGATTTATTGAGTAAAAAACAGTAAAAACTATGTGACCTATGGGGGAGAAGATCATCTGCGCACGTCTTTTTTAGTTCTAGAATCCCTTCCCATAATTTTAACTACTGTGTTAACTTCAAACAGAAATTATTCAATACTACTAGTTTTTTGAAATGCTTTATTATTATTATTATTATTATTATTATTATTATTATTATTATTATTATTATTATTATTATTATCATCATTATTTTATTTAGAACAATTTTCATTTAGGATAAAAATTGTATCTGCAATATTTAAGATTTGCAATATGAATTCATGAAAATACAGATTTCGCTAGAAATTTGATCAGCACCATTTTTAGAGCCCTTTGTTGTATTCGAAGAAAATGTTGTTTTTTTTAATTAGAGGAATCGATGAGAAAATAATTGTATATAAAATCGCATTTTTTCATGCAAATTTACGAGAAAACCACTCATATTTCTAAATATCGCTCCTGACCTAATTTAATGATTAAAAATGTAAAAACATGATAATGTTAAGGAAAAAATATCTATCATCAATATTTTATTTGTAAGAACACGCAGAAAAAAAATTGGTCATTTGCAAGAATCGGATATTCAGTAATTTCATCAAAAAGGAGAACGCTTGAACTTGATAGTTTTGAGAAAATATTATTATAGCTTCGTCTAAAAAATTGAAATATCCGTTTTAAACTCCCAGGTCTTCCAGTTCGGCCAGATCGGTCAAGGAATATCAGTTTTGGAAAAAATCCTCTGAATTGTTTAGACACTGCTGTTGACCACAGTCAGACGAACAAATGTATTTCCTATAACTAATGTTTTCGTGTCAAAGAGCCAAAAACAACATTGATTCGGGGTATACGTGTTACAGGCAATAATTTACTACATTTACAGTAGAAACAAGATTTATCTATTTATAGACAACATGGTCTAACAATATGAGTTTTAATGTCGGAAACGCGCCGATTTTATTTTCAGCATTACCATTCTTTCTCTTTATCAGGTAAAACGTTTGGCGAGTAAGTAAAAATCGCCCCGAAACTACTTATGTGGCTCATCAACAGTACGTGATCCTTCGTACAGTCCAGCACCGCGGGCAGCATATCCTGCGCCTACCGATATATCGCGAAAGGTTTTTGTTGTTTAGCGGACGAGCAAATCTGTCATTTCAGCGTATTCCAAAAACTGGCAAATGAAAGTGTCTAGTCAAAAACCAGACATGAATATCCTCTCCTGCTAATCTGGTAAAATTATATTTTGATTACAAAATTCGCAATGCCAACATTACATATAGTTCTAGGGCATCCGAAAACGTTTATCACTAGTGTGACATTGACTCACAGGTCACTGATAAGAGTAAACATTCGATGCCCGAAATTGAGCAGATTCTTGACATACGGAACTATTGTGATTACATGGCACGTGGACCGAAAGTAATGTATTTTGATGCAAAATCTCTGCTGGTTTTTCTGTAGTGTGACTTAGAATTCTGACTAATGAGGACTACGAACGAAATTCTATTCAAAAACCTACGTTTGTAAAGATATTTTTAGCAACAGTAGCCGAAAATTATAACACATTTGTGAAAAGGGAATAAACAATTGATGCAAATGAATAATCTTGTAGTAGTATAAGTTATCATCTAAAGCTATTGATACACAACTATTTATTTCCAAAAAGTGTCATAGGGAATATAATATACGTAAGCAAACAACATCTGGTCAGTTTACTTACGTAACTGTGATATTACATAATTCTTTTTGTAAATAAATAGTTTTTGTAAATTGATTGCTTATGAATATGATGATAATGATTATTGCTACGCGATTGAAAATATTTTAAACTAAGGAAGATTAAAATGACTACACAACGCCAGTATTATTTGTTTTACGAAGGAAGCAACCCCTCCAACAACTATCCCCTGCATTGAATACTTACTCCTTGTATACTATCCCTTGCATTGAATGTAATTTTTTTTTAAATAACCATGTTATTTCGGAAATATATACAGAGAATACTAAAGTGTCCTTCGAAATAAAACAACTGATATCTATAACTTTCAGAAACATTAATTTCGAATTTCAAGTTATGGACATCGCACAGTCGTTCGTTTGTTATTCTTCTTTCCACATGTGCATAAACACGCTTGCAATTTTTTTTAAATAACCATGTTATTTCGGAAATATGTACAGAGAATACTAAAGTGTCTTTCGAAATAAAACAACTGATATCTATAACTTTGAGAAACATTAATTTCAAATTCCAAGTCATGGACATCGCACAGTCGTTCCTTTGTCATTCTTCTTTCTACATATACATAAACACTCTTCCATGCACCACTCTACCGCAGATGTGGGGAGTTCCGTCGGGAGCTTACGGTCTGTCTGGATGGGGCGGAGCACTGGTGTCGGAGTTAGCCATAAGCGGAGTCGTACCTTGTAAACTCCGCGCTGGAAATCACGTTCCAGCGCAGGAGGAACACTGCCACTTCCCGACTGCAACATGCACTACACTTACAAGTCCAGTGACCGCAGCCGTTGATGCGCCCGGAAATACAAAATAATGATCTTCCTTTGCATCCATATTGCCTCGCATCGCCGTTGGTGGCTCAGGGCATCAACTGATGTCACTGCGGTGTCCATCCGGCAGGTCTTAGGGTCTGAGACCCGAAGATACTGGATTTTCGACATTAGATAGCTACGTCGAATTCGGCCCCCGTTGTCTGGAGGAGAATTGTAACGGCTGAATGGTTTGATCGATAGTTTACCGTGATTTCTCCGATCAACGCCAGGCGAATGACGCAGCAGTACCCTAACAAACGGACCGAGAGAGGTGGCTCAGGGCGTCAACTGATCACTCACTGCCGTGCTTCTGACCGGGAGATCCTAGGGTTCGAGTCCCGACAGAGTTTTCGACCCTGTCCAGATAGTTAGGTCGCGTTCTGCTAATGTCTGGAGGAGAATTCTAGCAGCCGGCTGCTCAGATCGGTAGGTTTCTCCGATCAATTCCAGGCAAATTCCGGACCAGTGTTTTGTTAAACAGGCCAAGGACCGCGCGCGACTTTTCTTTCCCCTTCCTAGTTCTTTCTTCACCCCTTACGTCCATACTCTTCCACTTACGTGCACTACACTACAACAAATGTCGGGAGACCAACCGCCGGGAGCTCAAACCATCCGCGGGGGGCGGTGCGGCGCTGATGGGAGATACCTCGCTGAGGAAAATCCCGCTAGCCGACATGTAGGTCGGCGCCGGATCTTACCAACGGGGGAAGATCACCTTCACCTCCGTAGGAAACGAATTCACTATACTTTCGGAACTAATGACCTTAGCAAGTTGACGCTCTCGGATTCACTTTATCTACCTACCTACCTATCTATCTATCTAACTACCTACCTATCTAATCTATCAAATTATCTATCTACCTATCTATTTATTTACCTACCTACCTACCACTCTATCTCTCTACATATCTACCTATCTATCTGTCTATCGATCTATCTCTATCTTTCTACCTATATATCTACCTATCTCTCTCTCTACATATCTACCTATCTGTCTATGTATCTACCTATCTATCTATCTTTCTATCTCTCTATCCATATATCTACCTATCTATCTATCTATCTCTCTATCTACCTATTTATCTATCTAACTAACTACCTATCTATCTATCAAATTATCTACCTATCTATTTATTTACATACCTACCTACCTCTCTATCTCTCTACATATCTACCTATCTATCTGTCTATCGATCTATCTCTATCTTTCTACCTATATATCTACCTTTCTCTCTCTACATATCTACGTATCTGTCTATGTATCTATCTATCTACCTATCTATCTTTCTAACTATCTCTCTATCCATATATCTACCTATCAATCTACCTATCTACCTACCTATCTATCTATGTCCCTCCTATCTATCTACCTATCCCCCGCCTGCCTATTGCTTTGTGCGCTGCTCCATTGACGGGCGCTGGTGGCGTGCGCAGGGGCCGTGCTGCTGGTGGTGGGCGGCTTGAGCAGCTCGTTGCTGGGGGCGCTGAGCATCGTGTGGACGCCCTTCGACCTCTTCATGCAGGAGGTGAGAGCGGCGCTTCGAGGAAGTCGTGGGCGGTGGCAGCGGCCGCTGCGGCCATTACCAAGGCTGCCGCGGCGTCCGCCAAGAGGCGGCGCCCGTTCTCCGGGCTGCGCTAATTAACGCCAGCGCCGCTTCGCAGAAATGATAGGTGCTGAGGCGGCGCTGTCGTGTCATGTGGCTGAGGCTTCACTTGTCGTCTTGCGGGCGGTTCCGTTGGATGCGAGGGAAGACTTCTCAGGGCTTTCGTGTTGCTGTGTATTGTCTTTTTCCCTTCGCGTTTTGCTAGAAATACAGTGTGGACCGAAATTAGGTGTCCACTACGTGACCTGTTTGCGATAAATGGTAATAGTTTGTTTTGAAAAAAAATCAATATTTATTTTTTGGTTGTTTTTATTATTCACGACATTTACATTTGTTTTATGTTTCATATCTCCGGTTCTTCCCAGTTAGTGACAATTATTTCCTTGAAACAATTAGTACTGTAAACCAAAATTTTATTCTTCTCTATTAAAGAATTTAAATTGTTTCTTTCAAATAAGAAAAATAAGTATGTAGTATTTACAGTTTCTTCAATGAATTGTATATTTGCCCTTTCTTTCTACTGGTACTCTCTTTCTCAGTCTTTGGGATGTTCTTGATAACATTATGGGCTGCGTTTGTATATTCGTAAAATCTTATTCAGGTAATTTGTAAAATGTTGTCCCTATTTTACTCAAAATTACCCCAAAACTACTCGTATTCCAAAAATTTTGCTCTTTTTTATTTTTGTTAAATTCCCCGAATTTTCCAAAATTTAAAAACTTTCACCGTCTCTCTACTACTACAACATTGAAGACATAGATTTTTCTCAACGAAATCTGTTTTCAAATGTTTACTATTATTAATGTGGAGTACATTTTTGGAAAAGAGTTTTCGCATAATTTTGGGAAAAATAGGGACAATGTTTTACAAATTACATAAATAAGAGTATCTCAAATCTTCAAGCTCTGAATTTTCAAATATTTCAACTTTTCAACTCTGTTTTTAAATACTCTGAAAGATTTATGTGTTGAGCTGGGCTATTAATATGGGGCTTGTACTAACTACTTATTAAAAATGTTGGTAAACAGGTCTTTCAGCCATTACGCTCAGATGTAAATGCTAACATATTGCCAGTAGAACGAAACATTTGATGACTGCCAGATACCTTACATAGGGTCGTTTAATGAGCTGAGAATACGTTACTGTCGTTGCAAAACAAGTGTATATTGCTTTATGTCTTGATATAAAATATCAATACACATTTAATTGTGCAAAACCATGTACTTTGTATGTTTTCACTTTAACTGAGCGATTTAATTAAATCTTCAACTACATTTTTTGTCTATTTCTTGTGAAAATTTTAAAATTGTATATCGGGTTTTTCTATTTATTTTGCATTGCGAGCTAGTACCCGTTTTATTCCTTCTGTCTTCCTGGGTTTGTTTTCAGAGATTAAAGATGCGACCGGGCCTCCCTGCGTATGACTGGTGGGTGACTCCTCCGCCTGTATTGACGAGTTTGTACATCTTCAATGTTACCAACAGCCATCAGTTCCTGAGCGGAGAAGATGACATGCTGCAGCTCCAAGAGATAGGTCCCGTTGTCTACCTGTGAGTGTTTTGGCCAGATTAAAAATTAGTTTTAGCTCCTTAATTTTTCTTGAATTAAATATTGCTTTTATTTTTTCCGTTATACACTTATTGTTACAATTCATAGGCCTGTCAGTGTTTTTGCCAGATTAAAAATTAATTTTAGTTCCTTATTTTTTCTTGAATTAAGTATTGCTTTTATTATTTCCGTTATACACTTATTGTTACAATTCATGGGCCTGATTGTAGTGAACAGCCTAGTGCTGATACCACAGCTGGAATCGAAGAAGTTCATATATTATTTTAGTAATTGTTTCAGAAAGTGTTGATTTATTAAAAATAAATTAATTTTTCGTTTTAAACGTGTCTTATGTGACTACTTCAACAGTCATCAATTTATTCACCGTACCTTTTTATTCTGGTTAATACTTATAAAGTATTAGTACTTGAGTTTAAAAAAATATTATTATTATGTATTAATGTTTGATCGGGGTGCAATACATGCTACAAAACCCGACTTGGTTTAGACAAAAAATATTTCAATCCTCCATTATTTTGAGATGTTTTTATGGTCGTGTCACCTGTTTTAATATATTTTTCAGGGAGCTCTTGATTCACAAAAATGTGACCTTTCATCCCAACGGCACCTTGACGTACGTAGGGCACAGGGAACTTGTGTTCCAGCCGAACCTCACCAAAGTGGACATCAATGCATCGCTGGTGGTGCCTAACCTGAGCGTCTTGGTGCGTAGTAGTGTTCATCATTATAAAAATATCTATTTACATGTCAAGTCTGAAAAATACATGATTTTCGGAAGAGCGGATTCCGAACGCAAAGTATTCTTTAATATTCGAGGATCTATCAAAACCTTCGAAAGACGCATGACGGAAAATGAAAAAAATGACAAAAACGTTCTGCAATATTTAAGTTTGGTGTTTAACGTCGGAACTGAGAAATTTCAAACTATTTAAAACCTTGAATTTATAACAGAAAAATGTGTATTTAACAATAACGGTTACTGGAATAAATTAGCTTTTGACGCAAATTTAAATGTCTAAATGAGGTTGAAGCAGGTCTGTAGACAATACTACGCCTAATCCCTTCCAGAATTTCTTTACAAAATGAATATTTCTTGCTCTGTCCCACAGAAGTCGTACCCCAGAAGTCCTCAGAAGTTGGGCATTGTTGGGTATCACGTAATGGAAAACGAAGAATGTAACAATGGGTGTATCTTTATTTTCAGTTTCTTGGAAGATGTGACCCTTTTGCAATATGGGTGCGATAATTTTAATCGAGTTTAAATGTCGAATATTTTGGCACATGTTCAATAAATAACCGTTGAAAGGAATGCGAGAAAGAGTCTGTTTGGTGAACTACCTCTAATTTTTCTTCGTATGGCATGTGTTGTACATGTTAAGTTGGTGTTAGCGACTTAACCCCGTTCGATAAATTCAACTTTAGAGCGAGGTACAGAGAAGAGTCCCAGATAAAATCTCATGAAAAGTCATTTATATCAAAATTCATGCATCAAAATTTTTCACGACGGCAATCGCTTAGTAACTCTTTATTACGAATTATTTCGAATTCATTTCTTTGTAAAAAAAATAGAGGTATAAAAATGCATCAATATACATTAAAGTTCAATTGCTAGTTAATTGTTTTTCGGATATTTTAGGAAATTAAATTCGAAAAATATTTTAAAAATTTGTCTCCATTGGTTCAGATTTGTCACCTTTCCTAATTTTACGAAATATAACTTCCTAAAATCTATTGCGTTGCTGAAATAAATTATTTAGAGTGAACCAAAAAATGTTCTTTGCAGTATTCTACTGTGCATTACCATGTGATAATACACATTTCACACACCCGAAAAGCTCGTGAGATGAGCAGCAAGAAATGTTTTAATGTTGAGCGTTAACTAGATAACATCTTTTTCAAAACAATTACTGTTTTTCCTGATCCACTTGTCTGTTGTTGCGAATCCCATTTGGAAAAACGTTATGTTAAGGAACGATTCTTAATACTGGGTTATTTTGGACTGCTACTATTTTCTGGACGTATAATCTTAGTAATTAGTGTCATAAAATGTATTTTGACGCCACACTTGATTCAGTTTGAGTGGAAAGTTGAGACAGTAACTTTGTCTCTGCGACATCTACCCGTGTCGGTCGGAACTATGTGCTCCAAACCAGTGCGTCTGAAGGCGGTATTGGTCCGACCAAAGCCAGCGCGGAGTGAACATATGAAAAACAATCACAAATTGACCTTTCCGCCACTAGACAATAGAATATAATAGAAACAACAGAAATACAATCGTGTTTCTTAACTGAAGATTTTAAAATTTGGATGACCTTCACATCACTCTATTATGCATATACTTAGCACACAGTAAGAGTAAACCGAGATGTGTTACTTTAAAAGCAAATTCCTTTGATTTTGTTTACATAGGCAATGTTAACGATAGTGCTAAAAGCGGCGGTCGGTCGTCAAACGAAACTGACCTCCACAATGATGGAAAAAGAGAATTCAAATAATTTCATTCATGATATTCTCTCACGCGTTGTCGCTAAACATATTGAATACCTAATGTTTCTCAAAGGCAGGGTGATATAAAACAGTGAAATTGCTTATACAGATAGTGTCTTTAATTATTATTATTATTAATATTATTGTTATTGTTATTACTATAATTATTATTATACTATTGTTATAATTATTTGTATTTATATATAGTGCTTCATTTTTAAAATTTTAGGTTCCTCAACGCGTGACAAATTTATTAATTTAATATAAATTTATTATTTTGTTATTAATTTATTGACTAACAATTATAAATAAACTTCCAAATAAATATAATTTTAAAATGTATATTGTAAGATAATCGTTCATAACGTATTGATCAAAGTTGGATTCAAATCTGGAATCAACCTGTTGATTCCGGATTTCAGTACATCAGAAACTGAAAGTTCGAGTCTGTGATTCGCACAATGCCTAATAAGAGAGAGGAATTTTTCCTTAAACCATTTCCCAACACCATTTTTCCCCAATCATTACAGCTGCACCATCACATGTTATACGTATTAGATTGTTTTTCAAAAATGAGTTTGTAATTCCGTAAGATTGAAGTTATTTAATTACAGGATCAAACACGACTGTTAAGCTCGACCAGGTGCAGGAATAATTTAAGTGGAGTATCTAGACCTTCTGGTATATAAAGAATCGTATGAATAGAGTTAGTCTGGATTTTTTACTTAAGGCAGTTGGTTCATCAATAATTACTCCAAGTTTAGCATATACCTATTTTATTTACTATTGTACTATGTATATTACTCTACAACTATAGTACTATTTTATTTACCATTGTTTCTGGCATTTCGCAGCTAATGTGCTCCACAATATTAGCATAACTCATCAAATAACTGAATGAGGCATAAATAAGTCTAAAAATGCACGCTAATTGTTTTGACAGGTGCACATTATTTGCTTTTGACGAAAACAAAAAGTCTAGACACACGAGATTATCTTCACATGCGAAAGTCATGCGCTATTGCAGCCTTTTTTCTTCCCGAGACAAGACGCACGCCCGAAACGCATGCGCTACGTGCACTCCTGCGTGCGCAAAATTGAACTAAAATACTCATCGTATGGACGCAGCTTAAGGCTCCGGTCACACTGCGGCCCAAATTTCAGACGGTCGCCACCAGACGACCGCGAGCGAAATCGTCCGACTTATTTCATCCCAAATGCACCCGAATGTTGCACCAGAAAATGTCTGAATATTCCCATAGTTCCGCAGTTCATTGTTTGAAACATTTGCCCAAGGGACGCCCAAGGCCATACTATATATATATATATATATATATATATATATATATATATATACTATATATATATATGGCCTTGACTCTCCAGCTGACATCGGACGAATGCAACCGATAGAATCAAACGAAACAACTTCGTCCGACAACCGTTGTTTTCGGACTCCATCGGAAGAGGTCCTTCGGATTCAATATGACCCTTGTCATTTAACAGCATGTATTTGAACGAATCGGGTGTATCGGACGGAATCGCCCGCCGCCATCCGACCGAAATTTTGGCTGTAATCGGTTCCACTGTGACCGCCGCCTTATACCCGTATCTCCTTCTTTTCCGCAGGGAATCGCGTCGTATCTGCACGACGCGTCCTTCTTCACGAAGATCGGGCTGTCGGTGCTGCTGCGGCGGCTGCACTCGGAACCCTTCTCGCACATTACCGTCTACGACTACCTGTGGAACTACAAGGACCCGCTGCTGCAGGTGGCGCGCAACCTGGCGCCCTTTCTCGTGCCCTTCAACAACATCGGCGTCCTCCAAACAGTGCGTACCCACCAGCCCGCGTCCAATCTACATATGGCAACGTACAATTTCATTATCAAAAGCTGAGTCTGAAAGCCAGGAATTTATTTGATCTGAAAGGCGTTTGGTAGCTACTTGGCTGACGGGAGACGCCGCGACCTAGGCACAGTTTCGACCGCCATTCTGCGACCTTCCTCAGGGCAAAATGTCGAGGGAGGTCGCAATATGATGCCCGAAAAGTTGGCGTCTGTACCTAGCAAGCGCTGCCATCCAAACAGCCAAGTTGATACTGATTCCGGCCGACATCAAATAAAACTTCACTCATCAAATGCACACTCTGAATCTAAAAACCTAATATCAAATGAAAATAAATTTGCCAAACATTCCAAATAATGTATTCGATACCGTCAAAAATTAAATGAAGTGGTGTACCATAAATTGCACAAATTGTTAAAATTAAGATGCGTATTTGCACATATATTTGGACGAACACACAAAACTGACGTTCCCGGAGCCCGTCAAGGGCACCGACGATGAAGGTCATCTACCTGCGCTGACAGCCCACGGCGCTAGCGTTGCTGGATTAAAACGCACAGTGAAGGCCCGTGTCTTCCCAATGTTGACGCGTAGGGGCGCGAGGCCATTCGGAGATTCGTGCGTCCTAATATTAACACTGCACGCAATCAACGCTAACGCACTGCAAGCACTGCGATCTCGCATAAAGGCCATCAGAAACATCCTCGCAAACAATCTTTTAGCAGAAACTGGTCAAATACACACCAAATAAAACGTTACTCATCAAATGAAAATTTTGAATCTAAAATGCTAGTATCAAATCAAAATAAATGTGCCAAACATTCCAAATAATGTATTCGATACCGTCAAAATCCAATAATCCGTCAAAAGTCCATAAGATAGTGAGGTCTCATCGGGGCGTTGCTTGACAACTAGTACGAGGCGTAAAAGAGAACGCTCGGCGAGTGTCCTTTCATTTGAAAATTTCTAAAATCAATATTCCTGCAATATCTCGATTGTTGTATGGCATTGTATCAGAAAGATATGTTCGTAGTATATAAGAGGCATTTTACAATTATCTGAAGGTTATGCAATCGAGCAACAGAGTAGTACCACGAATACAAGAATTGTATTTTATTTAGTTTATAAAACGTATCCAATGTATTTATGACAGTACTTTATTATCAGCAATTACACGACGTTTCGTAACGATATTAGTTACATCTTCAGGTTACTAAAATTATGGGAGTACAGAAATCAATTAACTATTTAAAATGTCTCTTACGTAAAAGTTAATACATTTACATGACGAATCAGTTAAAAAATTATTTCGTGGTGTCCGATCATGTTACGAAACGTCGTGTAATTACTGATAACAAAGGATTATCATAAAAACATTGGATGCGTTTGATTAATTTTAAAAATATATTTAAAATATATAATCAGGAAGTATTTTATTGTACCTACAAGTTTAACGAATTATATTACAAATGAACACGATAATAATCTCTCAAAACAACCTTAAATTCACAAATAATACCCATTCCTAAAAATAGTACTTTCAGAAAACTTGGAGCGGACTTTTAGATGTGAATTTTAACACTGTTCTTAAATCGTTAAAATGATGACTCGATGCTACAAAACTGCATTTTTCGAATAATCCAAAACATAGTTATTTATGTGAAATCTTGTTTTCAACATATATATTAAAGTTATTAAGATACAAGTTATTAAATTACATCGATTACTTAAAAAGAGGAAGTGGTGTTTTTGAGAGAGTTGGGGTTCTCTGTGACACAAGATAAATAAAAATTCGGTTTACCTCTGGTATCATAGTACCTCTGACACGCACTTACTTAATCAAGTCGTAGGCTTCCGCGACCAGAGTCATGTGGGTGATCTGGGCGGTCCGGGTGACTGATATGACATACTAGCCCTGAGGAAGACCACGACAGGATGGTCGAAACGTCGGCAACTCAGCCTTCGACGCGGCGTCACCCGGACAGCCCAGATCACCCACGCACTTACTTAGTGAAGACAAAGTATTGTAATGCTCCAGCGGAAAATGGTGATTTTTGTTAAAACAAAATAGTTTTGTGAAACGCTAATATTGAAAAAGTGGATATATTTTGTTGTTACTCGTAGTAAATTACTTCCTTTAACACGCTGTGTAGTCAGAATCCATATTTTATTGGTCATGGGCTCCGAAAAATTAGGTAACCTCAAAAAGTATATGTGCGACCACCCGCCTCTCCGTCTGTCTACTAGCGCCAGAATTATTATGACGATTTCCTCCAAAATTGACCTAGTCGAACGCAAGGCCCTACGAATTTGACTCAGTCGAGCTATTTTGATTTTGGGGGGTATTTTTCATGAAACCTTCGTCTCCTTAGTAACCTTCTGTAATAGAGTAAAGAACGCTTATAAGATTGTGCGGCTTCCATTTTCGTTGAGCACTCTGAATTTCGGAAAATTGCAAGTGTTACACCGAAAAAAGTGAACCGTTGGAATATACCAGATCCATAATACTGTAACAAAGAAATTTGTTACAGTATTATGGATCTGGTATACTCCAATGGTTCTTTTTTTTCGGTGTACAAAATGCGAGAAAGTATGTGCTGAAGTGGTACCGTTAGTTATCAAATATTGTGTAATAGGCGACTATGCTCCATGGATTCCTAACTCTGCAGTTTGTAGGACGAAATAAACAAATTTATCCTTTTAACAAGGACACTTATTTGCAGAATAGAACATTAACTTTTGTATCTGTTGGATTGTTAGATCTGTTGGAGTTATTTGCCGTAGATATTGTTTTAGAAACTTAGCAGCAATCTTCTCCAGGTCGATGGCTGTGAAGGGTTCTCCCTTTACCGGATGGTCACGAGTTGTGACGCGACATCGACAACAAAACATCGATGTTGAAAATTAAAACATTGATGTTAATAATACATCGACTATAAACAATCGATGTTTTTAAAAATCAGTTTTTTTAAAGTTGGTTTAGTAACCCCTAACATACAATTCGTGCCCAACAAAATGTAATTTCACAGTTGCCCTCTATATTCATTTATAATTAAAATATTAATGAAAACAACGTTAAAAAAGCCTCTCCATGTGCAAAATACGAGGAACAAAAAAGGAAATACCTGGGAATATGGATAATTTCGGGCGAGAATAGTAGTCTGCACACTCAAGGTAATACACACCACCTTTGTTTGCTTCGAACATACAGACAGTAGTACCAACATATATTATTTCAGATTTTAACTTTTACAAAGCTGTAATTATGGGCATTTTCATTCACGAACAAAATAGCGAAAACGTGAAAACATCGAAGTCAAAATATTGATGTGAAAAAAACATCGGCTCCAATACATCGATGTTTAAAACGACTACATTTTTACAGAATCATCAAAAATGTTTCTGTAAAAAGTCACGAGCGCAGCAGCTCCCAGGGCAACGTGTAGGCGCTGACAGCGCAAATGCGTTGTTCGCCGGCGGTTGCAGGCGCGAATAACGATCGCAGGCGGAACTGATTGCGAATGGTTGGGTAGTAATGAATCGCAATTTACCTTTTGACGCAATTGTGCGTTGCTCACCGGTCAACTCTCCATGTTTCGTCGCAGTCAACTCGTACGTTAGATTTACTCGCGTGCACAGTTTGTAATATCACAGAAAGTGACCGTCTATAAGTTTTAGAGTAGGTATAATTCTTTTTCTGTCGGACGATATCTGCAGGCAGCCAAAGGTGCAAATGGATGCATTCTAAGTCGAGAACTAATACTAAAAGGAATAAAAGAAATATCGACAAATAAATGAAGATATTTTGATATTTGATTAATGATGTGAAATCATCAAGATAGTGTCCCTAATACAGTATGCTAAAAGTGCATAAAAATGTGTTAGAAGGTAGTCAAACCATGTAACTTAATTGATTTAATATTATTTGAAAAACGTGAATCTGTGAAAACGTGGAAAACGTGAATTATTTGAAAATATTTTAACTATGTGTAAAAAAGACTCACATATAAAGGTCTTTAATACTATTACTGCTCTTGTGCTTTTGTATGGAGCTGAATCAAAAGTAATCTTCAAAAGTAGAATTCAGGCGGCAGAAATGAAATTTTAAGAAGTACTTTGGGATACATCCTCCAAAATAAAAAGGACTGTGGATACAAGAGAAGAGTTAAATGTGTGTTAAACCTGTATTAGATAAAATATCTACTGATGAAAAGAAAGAGTGCAAACATTTGCAAATGATGCCAAATGAGATATTGCCGGCTTTAGCTCTTGAAGGAGAACCGTAGACAGGCCAAAGAAAAAGGGAAAATCGAAACAGGTTGAAGCTTAATCCTTACTGGTAGAAGAAGAGGAAGAAAAAGAGGAAGAAGATGAGAAAGAAGAAGACGATTTGAAATAATGTAGCATCGACGTTCGCATTCTCATGTTTCATTTTTTCTGTTTGTTTCTTTCTTCTTTGGGGAACTTTCCAGCCCAGATCTTGCATGTTCTCAACCACGCGCTATGAGCAACTTCTTCCGTGAATTCATTGCGTTCATCTCCACAAGTATCTGTAAGACACGCGTCTTGTAACAACTGCTGTCCTAGCACTAAGTGCAGACTGTTCTCTTAATCACGACTTCGGTTCGTCTCTACCTACGTCCACTTGGCGTTTTCAAAATAGATCGCGGAAAAATTAGATATGTTCCTTACTGAAGTGAAAGTAATAATTCAATGCAATAATTACAAAATGTTTCTGTGGAAATGTTATTTTTAAAATCAGAAAAAATGTGAATAGCATATGTCATCTAAAAGTCTCAAAAAACTCGACCCGTTAAGTACATGACTTCGCTAATGCAGCTGCTCATTTTCGAAGAATCAATATTTTTTGGAATTGTTGAAATTTAGACGATTCCATTGATGTGTAACTTATTACAATAGCTGTCACATAGTTCTTTATGTATTAAAATAATATGAATTATAGAAAT